TGGGAGGTGAAGCTTTTACAAGGGACACCACAAAAACATGGCGGTGCTGTTTCTTGTAGTTGTAGTTGTTGAGTACTCATGATGCACACACGGAGTTGGTTTTCTTTACACGATGGTCTTGGAAGGCGAAGTGATTTGAGGATTTAGAGGTTCAACGTTTATGATAGTGTCGGTAAGTGGAGGGCGGTGCTTGAGACTTGTCTCTACCCAATCGCGATCGTAGAAGTGTTCGGAGGCGGAGTCACGAGCGTTGGAAATTTGATATCCACGGAAGTGAAGCCTTTCTTGCTTTTGTTTGAACGTCCACAACTCATGCCAATCATCATTGCTGTAGTGACATTTGTCAATCGCACATCGAAAGGTACACCACGTGGGGGAGAGTTGACGACAGACAAATACAACGGTGTCGGCACGTTTGCGCGCGTCGTCGAATGTAGCACAGTCTAGTGTCACGCCTTTTTTGGTGAAGTAGTAATGTGAAAAACGTTGACATTTACACATGGGCGCCTTGTAAAATGATTTGTACTGAAATTCATCGTTGTTAATGAGGGACTGTTCCATGATTAGCAACCGCAACAGTAGAGGTAATATTTAGACTTGGGTGTAGCTTGATTGAAGGTTGCTCTGGATGTGATACCGCATTGCCAAGCAAGACAGTTAAATTGAAAACACATCAACCACGTGGGGAAGAGATTCACGAGGATGGGTAAGCGTCCGGCGAGAATGCAGCAGAGGGCATTGAAAAGTTTGTTACGGTCTTTGCGTGGTTGTTGATGTTTGTTGGTTTCTTGGATGAATGTGAGGTAATCATTTCCCATTTCTGCATACCACCCGTCGTGAACACCTTTTCTAAAGTAGCCTAAAGGGTGAGGTGGTGGTTTTTTTCCAAAAGTACAATCGATACAATCCAGCAGGAAAAGAGTCATGAGGATTTGATGACGGCGGGTAAATTGGGTAGACGGTTGGAAAGGAAGGTGATCTAATTCGTAGTAACGTAAACGTTGGTAGATAAAATCCATTATACGTGTGTTGACTTCTTCTTGTACCATGGTTGAACTTGATCGATGTTAAGACGTCGAAGTAACTTTGAAAATGAAAGGCGCAGAAGTCCTGGGGGGAATATAAACTTGTCTTCTCTTTTGAATAAGCTACGACCCCAGTAAGAACCGTTGGCGGCTTGCATGGTCATCGTGATGAGGTCGCTGTAGTAATCTTTGTAATCGCTACGGATACCATATTGTTGACGTACTAGTAGATGGTTGTAAATGGCAGGGCTCATGACTTTAGGAGTGATGGGATGAGCACAGGCGAGATCCAAGCAATCGAGAAAGAAGTGAGCTAATAGAAGTCGTTGACGGCGGGTGTGCCAAAAGCTTGTACGAGAAAAGTCAATTTGCCCATACAACTCATGCTCTGCGGCACGGCGGTAAAGTTGGGACACGCTTCGAGTGTTCATCATGCAAGAGCAAAGAGAGTAATGTCTTAACCTATACAAAAAGACCTCCTATAGTAAATGCGGCAGCTCGTGACAAGCCTTTGAGTGTCTTCTTACTTAGTACAGGGCCCAATCGTTTGGCGCCACGTCCTACTATTCCAGGGAGGACTTTGTCTTTAGCAAACGTGACGGCGTGAGGGGCAACGCGTTTGAGTTCCTGTTTTCCCCACTTGATAGCGTGAGGTGTTGCACGTTTGAGTTCTTGTTTTCCCCAAGCGGTTAACTGGTCTTTGAAAGGTCCTCCACCACGTTGGCGGCGGTGGCGGCGGTGGCGGCGACGGCTACGGCGAGGCATGATGATGTACTAACACATGTAAGCGTAGCGGCAGTTTTTATATTAAAATGTAGCGTAGCTGCACCCCATATCGCTTTTAGTGGGGGGGACTCTGTCGGAGTGATGAATGAGTAATTCGAGGGTACCATCCAATCCATGTGTTTCAACGAGCATTTCAAAGATAGGGACGTGGGTGGGGAAATAAAGGAATCCAATATGATTCTTAAAGTGTCTCATGAGAAGGGACGTTAGATAGTCGTCGTACCCAGGGTTGAGCAGCACGATCTTAATAGCCTCCTTGTAAAAATTAATCATGTGTTGCACTTGGGTTCTGAGTTTAGAATCGCTGTGAATGTGATCACACAACCACTTGTGACATTTACATAAGGGATCTCTAGTGCCAGAAGCGTGAAGAATATCCAAGCTGGTTAGGAAGTGTAGGAGGTACGGAAATTGGGTTAGTTTGAAATAGTACGGTTCAAAAGACTTGACCACGTCTTTAGGGTGGAGTGTGTAATGATTGAGACGGGCTTCCATGGTTACGGCAAGGTTGTGATGATATCCATCTTGATAATGATATGGATCCATCTTAAATTCCATTATATTTTGTCTAAGCCTTTTTTGACTCTGTATCCGGCAGCAGCGCCAACGGCTCCTAGGGTTGCAGCTTTTGCGGCAGCTATGGCGGCAGGAATTAAGAAAAGAGGAAGGAATCCACCTTTTTGATTACCACCTCCTTTTTGATTACCACCAAGTTGTTTCTTTAGTTTTTGTAGTTTACGCACGCCTAGTTTTTGCAACGACTTGAGTTGTTTCCTGACAGCCTTGGTGGAGGGAATGCCACCCCCTCTTTGGGCACCATAACGTTTAACGGAATAGCGCGTGCGTCTGCCGCCTCCTGATTGGGCGCCATAACGTTTCATGGACTGACGTTGACGGGTAGTCCCGCCTACTTGTTTASGTGGCATGATTGGATTGGTCGTGAAAAAGTATGAAGGTAGGTGTTGGATCTAGGTTAGCTTTATACCTTTCGAGATGGGAGCAACTAAGGACAAGCAGTCGAGCAAAGTGCACAACGGGAAAAACGAGGAGGGGAAGTACGTGTTTGTGGAAGCCAAGGATGTGTTCATGGGGGATGGCAAGAAATGCGAAGACAAGGTAGAGGAACAGGATGTGTGTTTGTCACAATTGGATGATTTGATATGGCATTTGAGTCTGATGGAAGACCAGTTTGCCAACAAGGTGCAAGGACGGTTGGAGTGCTTCAATCATTCAGAAAGATTCATGTTGTTCCAACACTACAAAGATACCTTCCGACGTTTGTGTTCTTTCAAGACGAACCTGGTAGAATTTTCCACCCTGATGCAGCAAGCTTGTGTGGACAGAAGAGAACAACAGCAATTGCGTGACGAGATAACGTTGATTGACATGGAGGAGGGTACGGATGAAGTGGATGGTGCATGGGACGATTCAGCTCACGACTGTGTCAGGCCAAGTTTGTTATAAAAGGAAAGACAGGAAGGACATAGACATTAGTTTCACGATGGTCATTAACAAGATAAAAAAGAAGGTGGGGGGATTGAAAGGCGCCATGAAAAAGAAGATGGTTAATTATGTAGGCGGGAAAATTAACAAGAAGGTGGGAAAATTAATAGACAAGAAAGTTAAGAACTCCAAATTGCGCGGGTTGTTGAAGAATCAATTGAACGCGGCAACCCCTTACATAACGAATATGTCGCTGGGGGGTCAAGGGGGTGGACGCCGACGTAGACGTAAAAGGAGAAGACACACACAAGAAGGAGGCATTGTAGCATCGTATCCGCACATGGGCAGGCGTCACTACCCTAACGATTTTCCAGAATGGCGTTAAGTTTCGCGTACGTCATCTTAATGCTGATAGCGGATTGGCGCTGGTATAAACACGTGAGAGGAGAAGGGCCTACAAATTTAGAATACGCAGTGGCAAGAGCACTTCTTTCGAAGCAAAAGGTGAACGACGAGCATCGACACGCTGCTGCAGGAGCTTGTGATTTGTGTGGTTAAAAGAACGACAAGAAAGGAACAAAAGATGGCGCGCGTAATTTTGGAACTGATGGGGTCGTTGAGACACATGCTAGATTGTGAAACGCTTAAACACAAAGAGGTGATTATGGACCTGGTGGCCTGTGTGGAACGAGAAAGTGTTACTAAGGAAGTCTCCAAGGAAAACGCATGCGTCATAAAAGATGTAAGAGAGAAGTTGGGGAGCTTGATTTCAGCCATGACAACCACCACACGTCAAGGACGTAGACCTGAAGACATTGTGGTAGAGGTCGTTGAGGAAAAACAAGGAGAAGCATGCGATGCAGCCATAAAAGTCTTGAAGCAAGTGGAAGGTGCTAGAAGTACCGAGGAAGTGAAGAAAGAAAAGAAGAGAAGGAATCGCAAGCGAAAGGCAGAGGTACCAGTGGACCGCCTTGCAGATACACCCCCACCACCCCCCAAGCAAGTATAATTACAAGTAGATGACGACATCCGTGATTTYGTGAAGTCAATAGGACAGACAGAAATAAGTAGTCAGATGATTGAAGCTGTAAACCAATAGGGACAACAATAAAGCATGTTTTAAAAGATTGTGTTTATCGTACTATTTCTTTACTACAACAATTGGACTGACAGGCTTGACCTATGCGTCCTACCTTGTCCTTAAACTTAAGACGCAAAGGTCTGGGTACCATAACCTTACATAGAAAGCGACAAACGGTCTTGTCGTTTTTTCGAGTGGGGCGATCGAGGAAAGGTTTTACAAATTTAGAAAAGGAGCCACCACGGGTTCGGATATACAAATAGGAAAGGCAATAGTGTCCACACACGAAGGTGTCAAACGATTGAAGGCGGGGCATTTTCACTACGTCCACCATGTCGATGATTTTCATCACGTGGGGTTCTGTGTAGCTTGCCAAGTTGTCAGATCCGTACGAGTCCATAATTTCTACACGCCCGTAATTGGCAAACAACGCGATCCAATGTTGCCCAGGTTTGGATATGGGATCGATGTTGAAAATCATCCCCCAGGGTTCTTCAGGTTTGCTGTCGGGGTGGGACTGGTACTTGGTGAGAAGTTTTAAGGCTTGATCCGAGGCTTGAGTCCCCACGTAAGTGTAAGTGGGGTGATTGTGATAATTGGGTGGGTACTGGGCGACCACGTCAATGGCGTGGGTAGTCAGTTCACTTTGACGATTCATTTTTTTCTTAGTAATTGTTTTTGAGAGCAACGTTTTTATTACCATCGATCCAAGCTTCTTGTTCAAAGTATCCAGCCAAGAGCATAGTAGTATTGTCCGCTGTAGCCTGGGTGAAGTCCACGTCAATGTTAATGTTGCCTGTTACTCTGGAGTAGTTATAGCCAAAATTTTGTTCGCCATCAGGGTTGAGATTAAACAGCAGCAAATAATTGCCATCTTTATAATCTTGTCGGTTAAGACCAATGTCGGCTGATTCTACGCCTTGTCCTGAAAACTGCATCCAGGTATTGTAACCTTCATCCTTTAGATCAGAGCGAAGATCAATTCTTTGGTAGGGGGTTTCTTGTCCATCCACGGTTACTTTGACAAAAGATTGGTGCATGTCTCGGAAGTTGAAGGGGTTGCGTGTGTAACTGCCATTGTAAGCGTCACCACGAAGAAAGCCTAGAGCCATGTAGCTAGGTCGATAACCATTAAATGGATTGCTCATGCGATGGTAATGACGTCCATCAGGGATGGTCTCAGTCACGACTCGCCAGGACATGTGAAGGTAAATGGCCACGTTTTGTTTGGTTAACAATTCCCCTTCCATTTGAATGTGTAGCTCAGAGTTGGCCACCACGTGACGAATCCATAGTCTGGGGGAATTGGGAACTATGGTAAAGGTGGGGGCCGTGGATCCAACGTTGTTTGCAGCTGCAGCCATCATGACCAAGTTGCTAGGGTTCCACATGGTTTCAAATGTTATTTCACAACCAGGGGGAAGGTAACGATAACTGCGAAACATGGGGATGCAGGGGGAAATGAAAAACTTGACGGTTTTACCATCGGCACACAACTTGTGACGAAACGCGGCTCCTTCGTTGGGGGTTTCCCGCGTTAGGGCGGTGTTAAGCCAGGTGTTTAAAGCGTCTTGAGTGTATGTATTAGCTGTACCAGAATTGACAGCATTTGTATAGGCTCTTGGGCGGGGGTTGGTGTCGTCGAATTTTCCAGGGGTATCGGTGGACCATCCTTCCATGGACATCCATCCTTCTTTATCTGCTTTGGAAAAGTTAAGCAAACGGTCCAGGTAGGCTTGGTAGTGGTACTTGTCGTCATTGGGTTGAATGCTGCCTTTGTCAATACTGACTTTGATTTGTTTGATGAGTGAGTGCCCAATGTTGTTAATGGGGAAGGCTCTACTGTTATTGTCCAACAGGGTACCATCGTTCTTCTTGAATTGCACATCGAATTCCAAAATGGTTTTTCTCATGTCCACCCACTCGCGCGTGCGCGACACCATAATGGTGAGGGGGTTAGTGCTAGTGGATTGCTGATAGTAGGTTTCCCATTTGGATTGCTCGATGGTCGAATCCTCAGGCACCTGAGAGAAAAGGTCCCTAATGGTACCTTTCTGTGCTTTAGGGATGGGGGCTGCAAGGTCCGCCTTAGCGAGCTTTGATGGAGGTGCAGCAGCGCGTCCGCCTATCATGATGATGATGATGCGAGAAAATGACGACGGTTCGTGATGGCTCCTTTTATGTGTTTTTTAGTCGAAGTTCAACTCGTTGTGTATGTAAGCGAGTGCCTGTTTACCACGTGTTATGACTCCAATCTTGTCCTGCTTTTGTTCTGGGGTTAACTTAGTGTTAGCCTTGATGTTGTTTATGACTTTCTCCATGTCGTTATAACGTTCTATAGCTTGTCGTTGTTCAGGAGTAAGGGCTCCTTTTCCTTTTCCTTTTGCTTTTGCTTTGGTTGGGGTGGTTTTGGCTGGAGATGTGAAAGGTGCTGTAGGCAATCGTTTAGGAACGGGGATGCGTGAAATGTTGGGTGTGCCTGAAGGACCAGGTGCCGGAGCAGGAGCGGGGGTGGGTGCCGGAGCAGGAGCGGGTGCAGGGGCATCGTCTCGTGCACGTCGTTGTTCGTCGTAGGCTCGTGCGTAATTGTTTAGGTACCGTACTCGTTCACTAGACGACAAGGAAGGGTCGATGAGAACCTGTTTCATTAGCTGATCCGCGTGCTTGACGAATTCCAGGTTAGGATGTTGTTGAAGAGACAAATTAACAGCCAGAGTGTGAAGAAGGGCGTCGGTCTTGACGTTGCCATTAGCATCCACAGCCCCTACACCACCTCCTTCCTGTTGTTGGGGTTGTCGTAGTTTTTTAAGTTCTTCCGTTTGTTTTTCCAGTGTGTGGTTTAAACGATCCCACAAAATGCCTGGTACCAAGTAGCCTTTGTGAGTAGCGGCAGCATTGACGGGTGGAGGAGTCATAATTTTAACGTGTTGTTGGAGCTATGCGACGTGCTTTGGGGAATAAGGTAACAGGACGTCCTTTTATTACCACGCTGACGGTGTCTGACGTGGAAGGTAAGTGAGTGAGCTGTGTTGCCGTTTGTTTGCGTAGCGAGCGAACAGGTTGGGGTGGTTTGTTGACAGTGCTTGCCGGTTGAGAGTATTTGATGTGAAAAGGATGAATGATAGGTCCGTAATCAGGAATGCTAGGTCCAAGACGTCCACGTATACCGGCTCCCAATTGGCTGCTGTGCTTAACTCGTCGTCGTCGTCTACCTCCTTTTTGTTTAGGCATATTCTTTTAGGATGTTGTTAAGCTCCTCTTCCTCTCCTTTGTTGGGGGCAGGTGAAGGTTTGGACTTCAGTTTGTTGGCAACTTTTTCAACACCTGTACTTATAGCCGTAGAGGCTGCCTGCTTCCCCAAGTTTATGGCGGTTTTCTTTAAGTGTGGGGCGGCCGCTTTTGCCACAGCTTTAAGGGCGGCTCCAAACAATTCGGCTTTAGACCCCCCGCGTTGTAACACGGAGCGTCGTAAATGATTAACGCTGGCAGGCTTTCCTTTAGCAACCCCTTTGAACCACCGTTTGGTGGCGGTGGGTAAGCGAATGCCTTCTGAACTAATGTCCCCATTAGCAAATTTGCCTATGGTCTGCTGTAGTGCCTCCCAGTGATGATTCTTSCCTCCTTTTAATAAAGGAACCACCTGGCTGGGGTGACACTTAGCAAGGTTGCGTATAAATTTGCGCTGCTCTGTGATTGTCGACATAATGCCCATATGACGGACCGAGACAGGGAGCGTGATTTATACCGTTTGCTGGGGCACGAGGAACGCAGTCCTTTGTTTCAAGCCCCTGGCATTCGCGAGCCTACCCTCGTTCAATCCATAGCCGATCGAGCCATTAGCCGATCGCTTAGGGAAATGGAGACACCTCCCTTTGCAGGAGGGTTATCGCCACTAGCTGAAAGTACCCCCATTCGTATTAGCAACGGGGACGACGATGAAATGTTACAGCTGTTGGGTATACCCTATGTCTTACCTGATSCTATCACACAAGCACTGCAAGAGTCTAACCTGGAGTTGACGACACCCTCACCACCTGCTGCAGCAACACCACCACCACCTGCACCGCCACAACCATCACCACCTCTGTCGTCCGCACAAGCTACCGGTACGACCATACAGGACATTGAACAGTGGAGCCCTAGCTTAGGCGTGGAACTTCAATTTTTGTCTGGCACGACCTTAGGTCAAATGTCACAACGAGAACTAAAAGAGTACTTAGACGTGTTGGCAGGTCTGCGAAACAAAAACCGAGGTGATGCACCATTAGTGAGTGATATCAATGAAGTTATACGTGAAGTGCAAAAGCGTATGGTTTGGAAACCCTACAAGAAGATAAATGACTTAACTGAACCTCAACTTATTCAGTACTTGGGTGAACTTCAATCCATTGACCGACAGTATTACTTAGAAGCCTCACGCACACGCATTGCTGTAGCTATTGAAAAAGCAAAAGAACGTCTTGACCTCTTGCAACAACAAAGGCACCCCGGCACTTCTAAAAAAGGAAAATCACCACGTTACGATGATTTATCACCATCTCCGACGCCTTCAGGTGGTGATGGAAATGGTAGCGGGAATGGTTCCTATAGTGGTGATGCAGGTGGTGATGATAGTGGTAATTTTGGACCTCCTCGCCACACAAATGCTGACCAAGATACGACAGCGCGCGCTATACGGACGCGAATGGGTCCTGGGGATCACCAAACCATTGCCAACACAACCACCGTCACCACGGTCCGACGAGGAAAAAGACCCGTAGTTAGTTCAAAGGGAACACAATAGCGTAACGTACCCCCCTAATGGCGATGATAATGATGGGGATGATGACGAGGGTCCTGCAACCATGAAGGATGGAATACTTATTCGCAAACGCAAACGCAAGTCTCGCAAATCGGCAGGCAAGGCAAGGCGCAAAAAAGTATCGCATCAGAGTGGTGGAAATAAATTGCAAAGTGTGGAGGATTACATTCAGTTGCTGCGTCAATCATGAACCAAGCGCAAGTGCAAGAAGTACGACCCCATTGGGAGCACCCCTCCAACATTTGGGTTGCAGGACCTTCCAAGTCAGGAAAAACAGTGTTCGTGCGCAAGCTAATTCGACATTGTCATTGGAAATTTTCCCCCGCCATTAAAAAAGTGGTATTTTTGTATGGTATTTGGCAAGACGAGTACGAGGACATGAAAAAAGAATTTAAAAAGAAAGTAACATGGGTGCAAGGATTACCCGACGATCCCTACTCGCTATTTGAAGAAACCCCTGGATTGCTTATTGTAGATGACCTTATGGGGGAGATAGAAAGCAAGCACAAGCAAGTGGCCAAGTGGTTTACCAAGGGAACACACCATATGGATGTTAGCTTGGCCGTTTTAGTTCAAAACCTGTTCCCTCCCCAAATGCGTACGGCGTCGCTGAATTCACATTTAATCATCTTGTTCCCCAACCCTCGAGATCGTGCACAGCTACAGCGCTTGGCATCCCAGGCGTTTCCAGGAAAAGGAGAATGGTTTCGCACAGCCTTAAACTACGCTCAAAAACGTCCTTACCGTCCGCTGATTATAGACTTTCATCAAAAGACACCCAATCATCTTCGTATGTCTGTGGATCCGTTCCCGRTAGACTTGAAAGAATCCAAAGAACCTTTTCCTCAGTATATTCTTGCTTAAGAAGCTCGCGTGGTATCAATTTGAAGTAGACCTCCGTGATAAACAAGGATATCTGCGACAAACTGTTACCACAAGGCTTTTCGTCATGTGTGTGAAATAAAAAGGAACACGTCATAAATGTTTACGTAGTCTTTTATTTAAAAAATCAATGTGCCAACTCAATTGACCTAGCCTATTCACTTGCTCATCTATAGTCTTTTGAATATCTACCCACACCCTATAAGCTTCTTCAAAGTCCCCTGTAAAACATCTAAAGCATTGTTCATCTCCTTCCATAATGTAGCCATACAGGTTTGTGTTTCCGTCAAAGTGACATCGTCGCATGCTGCCGTGGAGGGTCATATAGGTACGTCCTACTTTGCGATCTTTCTTATTTGCTTCATAAGCGCTATGAACGTGGGCGTGCCAACGATGAAACCCCAAAATGCATATCCATTCCGCAGCCCTTTCCATATACTCTTTGGCCGCTAAGCATTGTGGATCCAGAGCCGTACAGGGGGTAAACAATCCTTTGCAGGTACAATCTTCAAAACGTGACATATCAATCAAATAGCAAATCCAATGTGTTTTTGCTCTTGGCCTTGGCTTCCGACTTGAAAGTCTTTGCAGAAGATGCAGCCCTGCTTGCTTCACTCTCTGCTTTACGCTTTAAAGCTATTTTGGCCTTGGTCCCTTCGTCGGATAAAGCTTGCTTAATGTCTTTACCATCCAATGCGTCCGTGGCCACGTTAGACAATGCTGTGGCCCCGTAGTCCACTGCTTCGTCTTTTAACTTTTGTAACTTGGGGGTTATGAAATGCAACATGGCTCCTCCCATCTTTCTAAAACCACCACCCCCTTGCTTGGGTGAGTAAATAGGAATGCTACCACCACCACTTTGACTAGGAACGTAAATGGGGATGTTACTCATGATTTTTGAAACTTTAAGGTGACTGTGGTTGCTCCTGCGTCTTTCACAAAAGGAATTTCTTCACCACGTTCGTTCTCTACCACGAACTGAACGGTCTGATAGTTTAACAGGGACAGAGGGTGGTATTTAATGTGTTTGGGCTCATACACGTATTCCTTGGATTCGTTGGTTTCTCCTTGTGCAACAGCAGGCAATGGAATCACCTCCATTAAAGCTATGTTCCGATCTCCCACGTGTTGGGGGGCTATCAAACTGCAGGTGATGTAGGCATTTTCAGAAAGAGGGTTAGTTGTGGTTTGATTAATGACCACATGTCCCCATTTGTTCAGTACCACGTCAGGTGTAGATGTTATAGTAAGATAATGCCACGCCGTAGGGTCATCCGCTGTGCTGCTGGAATTGTTTGCGGATATGCTTGCAAAACGAGAGGAGTCTGCTTTGGTGGTCAAGGTCCACAGTTGTTTGTCCATTCCCATGACATCCAAAAGCCCTTCAGGAACGGTTAGGGTTACAGAGTAGTTGGCTGTGCTTGCTTCTTGCAATGCGTACCCCAGTTTTAAGTTGTGGGCATCGTCAAACTCGCAGGTCAAAAAATAAATGAAAGGGGTAGGATCCGAATTATTGAATAAAGATCTTTGTGAGGCATAAACACCAGGCCATATTATCTGGTAGTCACATATGTAGTCACCCATACGACTAATCGTGCCTTCGGGTATGTTATACTTGCCGGTGCTTGTATTGTATCGGTTTAATGCTTTCGTTTTATCATTTTCAAACCAAATAAATGATTTGCCTTTGCCTTTAAATTTGGCATAGTGACCTGTAAGATCGTTCCACCTTACGCTTAATCCCCAGTCGTTCATTTGTTTCTCGAACACAACGGGGGACATTGGCTTGTCTTCGAATCGCTCATCCAAACGTTGCGTGGTCCCCCTAGCATCCCAATATTGCACACGTCGTTCATCATCCGTCGTTCCTCCAACACCACCATTACCATATTTGGTCCTTATGGTTTGGTGAGTAAACCAGGAATTTATGACGCGTTGAGCCCCCTCATTAAATTGCTTGCATAACTCCTCCACAGACTTTGCTTGACGAATAGTAAAAGAGTGCTTGGCTGTAGAATGAAGGGGAATGTTAATGCTCAACCCCACTTCCCAGGTGTCCAATTGCAAGCGTTTTTGAGCCGGTGGAAGTGTAATCTTGGATATTCCTGTAGTCCACGACCCTTCCCATCGTTGCAGACTGGGCAAGTAGGCTGTAAAATTACTAGGTTGATTGCCGCCAAAATAATTTAGCGACTGGTTGGACAAAAACGTTTGCTCCATGCTGCTAGCATCAAAGTTATCTTCTTCAGGTGTAAACTGCAAGCACAACAAAGTGTTGTGATCCGACGACGCTATCCACACTGGCGACTTGCCTTTGTCGTCAGCTATAATAAAGTTAAGATCATCGTAATGATTTCGATCCATTCGACGCACAAATGGGTTTACAGGCTCGTAATGTCGAATGCTTTGATTGCTGGGAGAGGTAATGCGCTCTAGTAACGGAAAAAAGTCATGCCCCACTATTTCATACTTCATCATGTCCGTATACAACAACAAGTCTCCGGGTGTTTGCGTACGATCCACTTGAGGGGTGATGGCTGTTAAGACCCGTACTGACCACGCTCCTGTCATCACCCATGGGGTGGGCAATTGCACCGTAAATAGTTCAGGCTTATTGTTCGTGGTGCGTGCATAAGCTGCATCTCGTTTGCTGCTACACCAAAACACGAAAGGGCTGCGTTCCATTACGATAAGTCTTCCACCTGGTCCTCGTTGATCCACGTCGAGTACTTGTCTGGCCACCCCTGATATTTCACGAATATTTGTTTCTTCTGGGTATCCGGATTCACACGACGCTTTTCAATTTTCTCTATGGGGAATTTGGCATTACTCTGTTCTTCGTCACTTATCTTTTGCATTTCGTTCTCGTAAAAGGTTCCCTCCAACACATCCTCCCCATCAAAATCCTCCAACCGATAATACGGGGGTGGTCCTGCATCTCGAGCTCGCACTTTGAACCACTCTTCTGTCCACTGAGGAAGGTACCCTTTCTTGAACAACGTGGCTTGCTTGCTTAAACGCACCACGTCCCCAATGTTAAACGCAAAGTGTTTTTCGGAAGGACCCGCCTTAGCCACCTGGCGCTCGTCCGACCATTCCTTGTACAGCTTGTCCCACACCTCCCGTTCCACTTGTCTCGTTACGGAGGCTGGGGATCGACCAATGCTAGAGTGATAAGCATGATTGTACGCTTCCACCAAGGGGTCGATTTCATTTACCCATCGGTACGAACGCTTTTCGTAAAACCGCTTCCACAACCGCTTCTTGATCGTTTGCTGCACCCGCTCTACAACAGCTGCTTTGGTAATAGATTTACCCGAGCGTAACGTTGCTGGAATAGGCAGGTGAGCCAACAAGTCCTTCACATCCTTATTGTAAAATTCTGTTCCTTGATCCACATATACCGTCAAGGGTAAAGTATGCACCTTGTCAGGGTCCTCCACCACTTTGTTAAAAATACGTCGTAACCCCTCTGCCGTCTCCTCCCCCGTCTTACGCTTTAAGGGGGTTACCCACACGTAACGAGATAAAACATCGATGGCAAACAAGATCCACGCGTTTCCATCGTTTTCTTTTTTATGCCATTGCATGTCGGACAAATCGACCTGCCATTGTTCGTCCATGGAGTGAACCACGAAAGGGCGTCGGGGGTAATGGCGTCGGGCGGGCACATGCATCTGATGCGTGGTTTGCGTTTCCAACCATGCTTGTTTTTCACGTTTAGTCTTAGTTGCTTTTTCCTGATTATTAACAAACGCCTGGGTTCCAGCATACGCTTGAGAATGGTCCTTCCCTGCTTCGTAATATTCTTGTTTCTACTTACGTGCTAAAACTTCGGTTTTTGGCTGCTTCCCTTTGCGCTTTCCTTTTTTCCGACCACCTCCTGATTGATCGTTGAACGGGGGCAAGTACCAAAGATCCTCCACAGCAGGCCGAGAGACAGCATCGCGTTTGCGCTTGGTGCCCCACATTTACACGGTTGCGGCTAAAACCTCCCTCTTTACCATCTGCACCTTTAAAGCACACTGTCAAAAATGTCCAGAAGCCTCCCATGTTATAAATGTTTTTTCTAATCTACAGACTTTTTTAATTCTTTATATACTCTTTTGATATCCATACGGCAACGTGGAAATGCCATCCTCTTGCAACGCCCGCTTGGTATACACGAAACGCACGTCCTTGTCCATGCTTACCGTTTTCAATTGCTTAGCAAATCCATCTCGTATGATGCGCTTAGCATAGGACACCGTCAGCTTAGCATGCTTGTCGACCAGCAACCGCTTCATGCTTTCCATGTGAACTTTCTTGCTCGTACGGTAATCCAAACTAATACCCTTGCACTTCACCACACGTTTGCCTTTCTTGGTTTCGTACGCATACGTCTTGGGACCCAAAGATACAAAGTCTACCAGCCAGTCTTGGCTAGGGTCTTTGCATTCGTCTTCCCACTCCCCCAAATTACACCCCAACTCGATTTCCTTCTCGTCTCCCGTGGTAGTATAAATGATGGAATCGGTGTCGTGGTACAACACACGCTTTCCTAACTTGCTTAGTGAGTCGTACAGCTTCAGTCGAGCATATGCGGTCACGAACGCCCCCACCACCACATTACCATCTTTGTGTACAGGGGTACTTTCTCGGTGTGTTGTGTAACTTACTTGCACCATGTGATCGGACAGCAACGCTACGGTATTTACGTCGGTCGTGTCGTCATTCAACAACTCGAAATAACGCGAGGGGTCTTTGACGTACTCCACCTTGGTACGAAAGGGGTTTTGCGCAAACTTTCCCCACAACTAGTTTAGATTCAATTTGGCAATGCTCCTCAACCCCGGATTAAACACCATCTTGTCTTCTTCCAAGTCCATGTTCTGTTCCCGTTTTACGTTTCTCACAAAAGCCGCKTTGGTTTCGCTTGGGGTGCAGTGTTGTGGCCATCCTGACGCTTGCAACTTTAGCTTCAGATTCTCACGAATGTACGTCTTGAACAATTGACCACTTACGCGCTCGTAATCCCACACCTCGTAAACAGCGTGTAGCTTGTACCCCTCTTCTAAAGCTCGTTCCATTTCCGCCGTAGTCCATGTCCCATACAGTCGTCGCTCCTCTGGCGAGTGCTCGCAGGGTTCCCCATTTTCCTGTTGCGCACACGTTAGACAAAGCGGAAACATCAGCTTATGATTGATGATTACCGACAGCACTGGAAAATACAAAGTCTTGGGGGGGTCTACTTCACATCGAATCAATCCATACCAATGATACAGTAGTTTGTGCCTGCACCTATCCAAGGGTGGAATGTCTTTTCCATACAGTACCACAGGGTGACCCACGGGGTAAAAATTGTCGTACATCACGTAAGGGTACAGCGAGCACACGTCAATGTATCGTATCTTGTCCACCGAATCCGACACCAACGTTAGTGCCAAATCCGCGTCTTCTTCTTCCTCTTCCTGCGCCTCTTCTCTTTCTCTTTCTTCACCCCCTCTCTTTGCACGTGCTGCCAGCGTTATAGCGTTGGTCCGCCCCCCAAACATGGCCTCCCTCGGACGTATGGGGTCCAGATCCTTAATCCACTTCGGAGGGTCCTGATGCTGCTCTCTCTGCACGTCCCACACGTGACCCCACATCTGCACCACCTTATACCCTGCTCCGTGTAACTCTCGCGTGCGTCGCAGTGTCTTTTCATACACGTCTGACATACTTATTCCTAGGTGAGCATGGGGTGCACCTCTCGATGGAAAGCATGTGGGACACCCGTGCCAGTAACATCCTTGAAACTGATACACTACACGTCGGTTTTCATCATAGCCATCCACCTTTGCCCCCAGAATCGTGGCCTCACCTTGTGCACTTCCTGCCCATTCCAATCCTTCGATGCTTAGTGAGTACAACCATTCCTTAGCTTGAACAGAGCATACGTCCCTAGAACGATAGCCTAAAGGTGGTACTACCCCCATCGTCTCGGGTTCCAAGAAGTTCGATTTAAACACCCTTAAGCAAGTCGACGCAATGGTAACGCACTCGGAAAAAGGGCACACACCAAACAATTCCACGTACAGTTGACGAAATGCCAAACACCCATCAGCCATCACGATCACATCCTGGATGCAGTACTTTTGCAATTCTTCTGCCAAGTTAAACACCTTGCCTTGTTGTTGCCCCCACCACGTTCGCTAAGCCTGTTGCTCTTCTTCGCGCATGTCGTCAATACCATAGTACTCCAACGGTGGATACTCCCCCACGTAACCCACATTGGCTTTGGTATTGAAAAAGTGTGGAAAATATCCCTTGTCCCCGCTCTTCGTACCAAACGTGGCAGGGAATGCACTAAGACGCATGGGGATAAAGCACACCGAATCTTTAAAGTCGATACCTTCAATCACCATCGACATTACCTTAGCTCCACGGTACAAGCACTCTGGTACTATGCACTTCTTCACACACCACTCCAAGATGGGGTACGCATCATACCCCTTTAGATTATGTGCCAAAAACGTGTATCGTCGGTGAACTCCCAGTCGGTCTCCTAGCAACCACGTCATGAACTCCTCCACGTTTTCAAACGTCCACAGCCTTTGTCTTCCACACAACCCAACACACCCCCTCGTCACATAATCAGACACATGATCAACACACACGTGACACACCATTAACACCACCACCGATGCTCAACTTACCAGCCGACCTTAAAACGGAGATTTTAAAAGGCCTAAGACACCATTAACACCACCACCTTGTTTACTATATGATGATCTTTCAAGCACTGCGTTTCAAAATCAAAAAACGCCAAATGCATAGCACGATCCTTCTTCTTGTTGGGTTTCTTTACCTCGTCCACCCCTTGAATGTAGCATAGATGTTCTCCACGCACCACGTTTTTGGCCTTGCACACATTGCAATCGTATCGAAAGCACTCGTGATCATCCACCATTCGTGTTACCTTCTTACGTCGCATTGTTTTCTTGTCACGCTCCCATGTCACCCTCAAGCGATCTACCGTTACATCGCAGATACAGCACTTGTACTTTCGCTCACACGTCGAATACGTCATACTGTCCACCATACGTCGTAGGCGGTGTGAACGTTCACACAAGTCATTCCAAAACGTTCGATTGCACGTGTTACACTTTACCTCGCTCCACGCTCTTGCCACGTAATGATCATTGTTTTCTTCGCCACACTTTACACATGGCCTGCTACACTTGTGCTTTTTCAAATCCCGGTGTCCCTTTTTGCACTTGTTGCAAAAATACGTCGACCCCAGCCATGCAGGCATAGAACGAATCCACGAAAAGTGATCATCCATCAAATTCAAATAAATGTGCTTCGTGCTCTTTTCCTCTACGCCGCTCTTGCCAAAGTTTGCTATCATGCAACGATTGCGCTCATCGTACACGCACAGTTCAAAGTCATGCTCCTCATCGCCATACCCCTCGTTAATAGCCTCGCTCCAAACCTTCACGTCAGAAATGCCGCATGCTTCATTCCACAAATGTTGCATCCCCATTTCTTCATACCAATCCATCAAACACTTGTCTTGCGACAATTCCAACCCCATTTCCTTTAGGGCTGTCAACAACGATTGCCCCAAGCAATTTTCTCCCTCGTCGTTTTCGACCACGCTCCTTTTTCGTTTCTTTTGATTTTCCGAAAACAAAAAGTGAGGAATGCTCTTGTTCTTAGCCATAACGTTCACCTCAGCGCACAAGTGACGGTTTTCCGATCCTCTATACGTTCGCCCACATTTTTGACACATCCGCTGACGTCGCGTTCGCCAATCCCCATACAAATTATCAGGATCGATAACGTCCAGCATTTCACATCGCGCTTCATCGTACCACAACACTTTACACACCCCTTCCCTTTCATACGTGCTTTTCCAAATCACTTCGTGAAACATACCCGGAGCCTCTTGAGAAAGCACCATCACGTCCTTATCCGGATGCATGACACACCAGGCTTTCAGCACATCCTGCCAGCACATGGGGGTTTCCTCAAACTCTGCCTGCATTTCCTCCATGGTTGCAAATGCTCCTCTCCTCCTCCTTCTCTCGTAACTCCACACTATTCTTAACGTGTCTCTCACAGGGTCTGGGGGTTCACCTTCTTCCACCACCGATAGCACAGCTCTTCTCTCAATAGCATCCTTTAATCGATCAGGTGTCATAATAGTGGTCGTTGCTGTCCGACCCCGTGCACTCACATCTTTTACCAACGTCACCATCACGTTTAATGAACACCCCAACGTCCATGCTTTCTTCGATTGTTGAATCCCCTCAATGGCACTCACTAACATTCGACTTTGAAATTCAGGAAAGTGATATCGACGCACAGGAATAACTACTGGATAATCCAAATCTCCTCCTTCGATGTTCATCCCTATCTGATCTCGGGGTTCCACCCCCTCGGTCGATTGAATGTAAGTTATGACTTCGTCAAACACGCGTTGAATCCAGCGCACACCCCATGCGTCATCACGATCTCCCTCAGCTTCCGCCTCTTGCGCCAGCTCCGTATCGGATTTCGTAACCAGGCGATATTCCRCACTCGTAGTTCGAAACTCATCGCTACTCCTATGCACCGATCGTTCCACGTTTTTTATCAACGTTCGACTTCGCGTTCCTGGAGGCATATCTTAGTTCCCGACTTGTGGGACTCCAAAACAAAAACCCCCGTTTGCTTACGTTGTTGTTCGAAGTGATTCAAAAGTACATGTAGTAACTTAACTTCGTCCTCGTATTCCTTCACACGCTCCACCGCCAATGCCAGCAAGTCACGACTTGGTAATGTATCACGTGATAAACACAGACACAATCGATCAGTCACATTCTACAAAGAAACAGTTTTAATAACTCAACAAAAGTTTACATAGCGTAATTGATAATTCAGCAAAAGCTGATGATCATTATCGTCTAATAAATGTATATAGCCCTTCTTATGTCCAGTGTTCAAAAATTCTTTCACGTTATAAAAACATCTCTTCACTTGAATTCGTCTTGCATACGACAACTGTTCCAAACTCTCCCCAGGTTCCATTGCTTCATACGCATCCATAATAGCCTTTCTCATTCGTGAATTCATCCTTACTCCTTGCTCTTCTTCTTTCTCTCGATCCCTTAAGCACGCAACACCGCAGCGATGTCTTGACATAAACTCTGCTTTCCTTTTCATTCTCTCTTCTAGCGATTCGTTCATGCTTAACATGTGTTCTTCCTCCTTTCCTCCTTTTCAGCTATGCGTCTCCCTGTAAACTTCGTGTAAAGACTGTCTCGATCCCTCATCCCTCACCCCTGTATATACCTAGCATCGCAAACCCCTATAGGGGGGTGGGGGGACCCCCCATACCCCATCGGTACCAATAGCATAAATACCAACCCTCGACCCTACTTTTCTTTACCCTGCAAAACCCACTAAAGCTTACTACTGTGTGTGCTACAAAGTAAAAAAACCGCCATGGCCTCCAACGACGTCTTAGTTCCTAAACGCAAAACCCACGTCGACGATGACAACACCGATGACGAGCAAAGTGAAGAAGCCAAAAAAGTCAAGTCCAATGAGGAGGAGTTGGTATGTTTTATTTGCTATAATACTCGTAAGCGCATACAAACCCCAAGCCTTACCCCGTGCTGTAAACAACCCGTTCATGGAGTTTGCATACTCGTTTACCTCGACCAATCTTATGAGAATCGAAGCGATGACGAGGCTGAGGATGACGACGATGACTTTGAAAACATTAGAAAAGCCTCCAAAGTTTCATGCCCCATGTGCAGAGCCATGTTAATCGTTGCACCTTATTTCGTTCATATCGAGCGTACCCAGGCTTATCCTCGTGATCCCAACTCGTTGGTTCAGCATCACAAAATCTACGAAGCTGAATACAAAGATTATTTTAATCTCACCCACAGACTCTTAATCCAGAAATACACGGAACTCATGCAATCTCTCTCTGATTTTTAGACTCAATGCGAAACTATCGCCACGTTAGCCAACCACACATATTACGGTCATCTCTATAGCCTTACTCAACTAACCCAATTCTTTGACAACCAAGCAAGCATGGTTATTAATTTCGGCAAAAAATGGGGACTGCACACTATTCAACACGATGAGATAGTACGTGCACGAAACGATACGATTGGTTGCATTTCCACCATTCGTCGAGCCGCCCCTTACACTCTTCCTCCTCGCATTGCGGATTGTTAAATCTATTCGTCGTCTTACTGGGCATGTGGCCAAGGAAATTGTGGGGCAATACCTTATTTCATTAATCCAACAAGACAAAGTGCTCAATTACATGCTTCAACACCAGCTTTGGCTTTGGCCACGTGTTAAATGGTGCTATCATACCCAAGCTGAATCCGTATTGCATCGATACTACTCAAACCTAATAACGTCCCGTGATTTTGCCAAAACCCGTTTAACCACCTTCCTGGAGGAACCCAAGGGTCTTCTCAAGCTGGTCATACCTCACTACGCTAAGTGTGACGACATTGACAAGTTAAAAACATTGCTAACCCTAACTGCACACCCCTTAAAACCCCACGAAAGAAAAGACTTTAGTCAATTTGAATTTCATTATGTTGAATAAAAGATTATTCTCTTTTCTCGTAGACATGTCCTATATGTTTGGGTGTCGTTTCGGAGGGGGTGGTTTCTTCATGCTGTAAACACAATTTTCATCCTGATTGCCTGCGTGCCTGGATAAACGCTCCACGCTCCAGAAACCGCTGCCCTATGTGTCGTCATCCACAACCTACCACAACACCCCCCTTATTTCCCAATCGCGAAGTCACATGTCATGAAACTTTGGAGGCTAGCCATTCGTCTTCGGTATCTCGTGAAGCTACGCGATTCTCTTCGGATAATTATTCGGAGTCGTCCGAATCATCCAACGACAGCACCGACCCTTACGAATGGTCGATTCACTTGCCTAACCGTATTTCTCTAACCTCGCTAATTCCACACACCGTAGACGCTCCAGATCATGCAAACACCACCCACCAACGTTACTCTTTCGGTCCTATCCCCATTACCCACTCCTTAACTACCATTACCAATCTTTTTAACCACGGTCATAGGGGGACTACATTCGTCGTCGTCGAAACGCAAAACCGTTTGCAACTGGATAACATATTATGCGCCTTTTGCTTAGAGCATTACACCCTCCCCCCTATTTCTGGTGAAAGATTTCGCTATACCCCAGAGTTTTATTACAGTATGGTTTACCCTTTCCCCATCAAACCCAATATGATTGTTAACGTATGCACAGGTCCCCCTCAACACTCCAATTTGTGTGTATTTCGTGCCCCCGGTCAACCCAACTTTAATGTTTTCGTTTACCCTGTTAGTTCTAATTCTGTTCTCTGGAGAATGGGTGATGTGCCGCATCAATTTGCGGATAATATTAAACAAACCTTCCCCCAACATCCCTTTCGGGTCAATTGCTTTCCTTCTAGACATCCACGTCGTTAATTCTCTTTTTAGACATGCACGTGTCGCACACGCTATTATTGTTCTTGTGGCGAGGCTCAAGACCCTGACTGCCTCGATTGTACCAACGAAGAAATTGCACCTTTTCCACCCGTACCCAAACCATGTCCTCTCCACCCCACCCTCCTTGCCTTCATTAACGCCGCCAAACACCTTAGAG